TCGGCTATTTGTCCAGGATAAATCTCACACTCTTGCGTTTCCTTCTTTGACTCAGCTGAACCCTCATCACTCCCAGAAATGGCATGGAAAATCAAATTAACCGTGCTGTGGGATTCTTTGGGGTTACGTCTCTCTTCTCCTTTGCCCACACTCCTGTCCCTAGGTAGGTACAGAGGTGGGGTAGTTCTTCACTTCCAGAGGAGGAGAGTCAGCATACGCGAGACGCAAATACCCATACGGTTCACCACACTTAATCACATGCATATTATTTAGTTAACTCTGTAATGATGTAAAAAAAGTCACAAAATTCAACGGTTCCTTGCTTGCATAGAGTAGTCTCATTCAAGGTTTCAAGCTGCTTTCTAAGTACTGATTAATTAAACCCAAACTTTCTGTGTCTTTCACCCAAGCTGAAGTGCTGATGACACAGTAAGACCCAAACGAAACTTGACCCCACACAGAAATTGTCAGGCATAATTCTGTAGGAGAACTTCAGCCGAGGAAGACTGGGGCATAGGAGGGTTGTGGGGACCCCAGACCCCAGGATTTGTGATAGAAGTACTTGAGAAAACCCCCCATGATATCTTACAACCAGCTCTTCCTAATGAGTTTGACGAAGGTAAAAAATTCACAAGGTTGGGATACACAGAAGAGAGCATAGCATTAACAAATCCCACGTGAATCTGATGAGGAGTGAACTAATCACCTCTTATCAGCAGGAAGGCTTTCGAAGTCAAGGTTCGAACTCTGAGATACGCTTCCGTGAGCGAAGCCGTCACCTGCCGAGCCTGCGTTTCTCTGCCCTCAGTCACCTCATTAATGAGTAAGCCCTCGCCACCGCACAGGTGCTGCCTTAGCGCATTCCTTTACTGCTCTCGTCCATCCCAACCGGACTGTCTGAAATCTAGATCCCAGTGACATGTGAGCGGTTAAGTTCTCACTCGGAAGTGGCTGGGAACTCAGTGAAACGGGCACACTAGAGGTGAGCAGACATACGTGGGCCAGGAGTGGTGACAGATTACCCACAGCAGGTAGTAAAGCAGGCTACAGACAGAGGCCCCCAAGTCATAGCTGGCACCATGGTTAAGTAATTCTGTGTAACTGCCCCTCATGGAGCTACAAACACTTTCTCCGGGACCTGCCTCGCTGGGACGAACAGGGGCAGTTCCCTCCGTGTCGGCCGGGATCACCACTGCGGGCCTCTCTCTCCTCACACCTGAATGTTGTGTGCTGTGTCGCAGACCCTCTGGCTTTTGTTAGGTAAAGAGGACTTATTTGATGAATTAAACCATGCTGGTGTGTTAGTAAATGCTATTGGTGTGTGACCACTCTCAGGGAGCGGTCTTAAGATTTTCCAGAGGTTTTTTTGAAAATAACTAACTGTGGTTCAAGGATGCAACTCAGGTGATGGAATTTTCAGGGGTTTTGGCAGACCTTTGAAGCAAATGGTCCTTCGCATTTACTCAATTCATTCCACTAAAACTCTGTTGCATATTATGTGCACTCGACATACACTGGAACCAAGTTTTTATACTTAGCACACACACATGCGCGCGCGTGTATAACAAAAACAATATGCTGTTTATGTGTCATTAACCAACACAGTGGGGAAGTTATAGACTTGCTGCCAGATGAGACACACACGAGGACTATGAATTCCAGGTGGGACAGTTAGAAAAAGAGGTGTGTGACTCAAGGGGTGGGCGAGAACCTTCCCGGTGAGGAGGTTAGGAAGGAAGCTTCACGGAAGCAGTGGCGCTTGCAGTGGGCATGAACGGGTGACTGGATGTGTGGCTGTGACACGGGTGGCGCCAGGGAGAGGCGCCGGGAAGGGGAGGGACTCCGCAGGCGAAGGCCGGCGCGTGATGGGGAGGCGTGGAGCGGAAGGCAGGGAAGGAAACCGTGCCGGGCCTGTGAGGCGTCAATGTCAAAACAAGGAGGCCTTCGGTTTGCAGGCAGAGGATCCGTGTAGATTGTAGAGCAAGGGGACTATGACCTGTTCGAAGTGGCCCTTGGGAAGCGCAGACGGGCAGCCACGGTAGGAAAAATTAGCAGAAGAGACTGGGGAGGGGAGGGGTGCACTGCAGGCCTCACTTAGGCGGTGGCGGTGGACAGAAGGGAGGGAGGGATGCGTGCGACCGCCAAGAGGCAGGGCTCCGGGCGCGGATTCGTAGGAGCGAGGCTGCTTTCAGAGACAGTGAACAGAGGCGAGGACTGGCAGCGGAGGAGTCTGGTTTTGGACGCGGCGTGCCTTGAGGACCTGGCAGCATTTCCAGACACAATGGTCTGTCAGGCCGTTGGAGAAGCCAAGTGTACACCACCCATTCTTTTCTCTTTTTTTGGCGTAGTGACACAATCACCTGCTGGAATGAAGAGCCCTCGGCTCAGAATCGAAGCCTCTTAGCGCGTAGTCTTCTTTGGAGCCGACCGCAGCTACGGCACATACGGAAATGGCCCAGACGCATCCGTGCCTTAAGAAGGGAACATGTAGTCTTCCTGCCACGTCACCCTGCCCTCGGTGGAACTGCCCCACTGACGGCTCGAGGCACAGCCCTACTTTGCTGTGAGGACCCGGGGCTTCGCCCCGCAGACCCGGCTGTGAATCCTGGTTCTGCAGTGTGATTTCCGTGAAGCCGTCCACCTGCGGCACGAACAGGCCGGGCTGCAGGGCTGGCGGCAGCACGCTGGGCGTGAAGGGGGGACAGGAATGGCACACCCAGCTCGACTCCCACTGTCCACGGCCCTCCTGCCCGTAGAACTCGAAGCGGAGGAGTTTGGGGTTCACCCTTCTCAGGCTCGTCCTTGCAGACAACTGCTTCTCCGTCAGTTGTCACTTGCCCCCACTGACAAGGCAGATCTGCGTGAGAAATGCCAACACCTCTCTAAGATGTCACAACGGGCATGTCAAGGGGAAGGACAAAGATGAGGAAGCCTTGGTCTTGAGGAGGCTGCACTAGTGAAGACGACAAAGGAAAGGTCAAATATGATAAGGGCAGCAAGTGTCAGGAGCACAGCAAGGGAGGAAGGGGCTTTCTGGGGTTGACGTGAGGCACGGATGTGGGCAGAGCCGGGGAGCGGGTGCTCAGGGACGAAGCCACACCGCGGAGCAAGGTGCTAAAGAGAACAAGGAACAAGCCTGCTGAGGCCCACACCAGCTCCTGGGGACCCAGGCTGTGTGGGGGACGGGCAGGGACCGCAGGCTGGAGTTGGGGCGGGGCGGGGGTCTTCAGCCGGCTGAGCCGCGCTTGTATTCAGTAGGCCGGCTCTGAGCTGAGAGGGCATAGCTCTGTGCTCTGGGAGCCAACCCCAGCCTCAGGGTCAAGGACGAGCTGGCAGAAGATGGAGGGGGAATGTTCCCGGGGAGCAGGAGGGGGTGACCGGAGCGACCGTGAGCTCAGCTGACGCAGGCTTTGTGCCAGACCCCGAGAGCACCGAGGGAGAGGAGGGCTCAGGCCTCCAGCCAGCCTGCATCGTCAGGAAACGGTGGAGGAACGAGGAGTCAGGGGGAGCCATCTTACGTGGCGTTTGCGGGGTTTGGGTATGGGGGGCATCTCGGCGAGAGTGTTCAGTCGGACAGCGGGGGGTGTGGACAGCCTCTCCAAGTCAGGACGGGGGCACCGACCTGCGCATCAGGGGCGCCGAGGTGACCCCGATGCGCGGGAGCTGACCTCCCAAGAGGAAAGCATGCGAGGAGTGAAGGGAGAGGGGCCGAGGGCGCGTCACAAGGCCACGGCGGCGAGGGCGAGGGGAGACAGGGGCCCGCAGTCCCCACAGTCCGAGGACGGCTGGGTCCCCCGGCTGGGTGCCCCCAGGCCACGGCCTGTTAGGGCTGATGGGGGGCGGGGGGCAGGCGACTCCATCGCTCCTCCTGTCTCAGGCGGGGAGGGTGGAGGCCGCAGGCTGGCGGGTTCTGCATCCAGAACGGGGACCTTCCCGCCCAGTGCCTTGTCTGCGGCCGCACTGCCATTACCATCCTCACCCCCAAATGTCCACAGAAACCACTCCGCCGCGAAGACCGGGACATTTCAGTGTTAACGGCCGTTAGGCCGGGGCTCCAGCAGGTATTTTTGCCTTAAGCCAGGAGGAGGCGGAGGCTGGGCTAGGCCGGTGCGCGCGCCCCGCGCCCCCGAAGGCGCCCCGGGAGCGCGCGCTGCGCCTGCCGGCCCGCCCCGCCCCCACCTCCGCACGCGGCCCCGCGCTCATCCCCGCGCCCCCGCCTCACCCCCCGGTGCGCGCCCCCGGCCGGAGCTCACCGCCCCCCCACGCCCCCGCCGCCCGCGGACGCGGCCCCGCCAGCCCCTCCCCACCCCCCGCGCGCGTCCTCGTCCTCGGTCCCCGGGTTCCCCATCCCCGCCCGGCCCCCCCGAGCGCGCCCCCGTTCCTGGGAGCGCCCCCAATCTCCCACCCCCACACTCGTTCCCCATTCCCCCCCGCCCGCCCCCCGCCCCCGAGCGCGCCTCCCCGTTCCCTAGCGCCCCTCCTCGTTCCCCATCCCCGCCCCCGCCCGGTCCCCCGAGCGCGTCCCCCAGTTGCCGGGCGCCCGCCACCCACTTGTTCCCCATCCCCGCCCCGCCCAGTCTCCGCCCGGCCCCCACCCGGCCCTCCGAACCCGCCCCTCCCCCCGTTCCCGGGCGCCCCCCACCCCCTCGTTCCCCATCCTCGCGCTCGCCCGGCCCCCCCCCCGCCCCCCAGCGCGCCCTCGCTCCCGGGCACCCCTCACCCCCACCCGTTCCCCGTCTCCACCCCCGCGCGCGCCCCCGGCGCCGGCCGCATTCCCCGCGCGCCGCGGGCCCCCGCCTCCCCGCCCCACCCCCCGGGCGCGCCCCCGCCGTCAGCGCGCACCGGACGAGCGGCGGGCGGGCGGCGGGGCCGGGGGCGCGCGCGGGGGGCCGGGCGGGGGCGCGGGCGCGGGGCCGCGCGGCGGGGCCGCGCTGAGGAGGCGCCGGGGGAGGAGCGCTCGCTGCGCCGCGCCCGGCCTGCCGCGCTCGGTGCGGGTCCGCGGGGCGCGAGGAGCCGCCAGACCGCGGCCTGCGAACAAAGGGAGGCGGCTGGGGCGGGGGCGCCGCGAGCATGGCGGACCGCGGCCTGGAGGGCATGGCTCTGCCCCTGGAGGTGCGGGCCCGGCTGGCCGAGCTGGAGCTGGAGCTGTCGGAAGGTAACAGGCCCCGCGCCCGGCCGGGCCGCGCTGGCGCGGGGGGGGGCCGGGGAGCGGGCCGGGGGCGGGGGGGGGGCCGGGGCGGCGGCGGGGGCCGGGGTGGCTCCGGGCCCCGGCGGGGGGGGCGGTGCGCGCGGCCCTGTTCCCGCCCCGGCTGCCGCGGGCTCGGCCCCGGGCCCGGGTCCCCCTGCGCTGCGGGCTGCCGGCGGGTCCCCGCGCTGCGGCGGGGCCTGGGGCGGGGACGGGCGCGGGGCAGCCGGGGCGGGGGGCGCCGGCCGGGGGCGCGGGGCGGGGGGCGCCTGGGCCGCGCCGGCCTGGCGGGAGCCGTGTCCTTGGTGCGCGTCCGTGCGCTCGCCCGCGGCCGGCCCGGGGACACGTCCGCGGCGCGCGGCCTGGGGTGCCGGCCGCATCCGAATGCGAAACTTGGCGTTGCACTTGGGCTCGGCCTCGGGGCGCGGGCGCGGGGAGGGCGGCCGCACCATTGTTCGCCGGGCGGGCGGGCCCGCAGCCCCGCCCCCCCCCCCCCCCCGCAGGCCGGCTCGGCTGCCTCGCTCTCCTCGCGCGTGGTGCGAATTTGTGACGGATTCGCTACAGGATTTCACGGAGCGTTAGGTGCTGTTTCTCGTTTGCTCTTGACGGTGGGGTCATGTGCTCAACTGTCATAAGTTTAGGTCGGGTCTTGCTGTCTCTCAAAAAAGGACCCGCTGAAGTTCCGAAATGTGAAATGTTTAATATGCATCCGGCGCCCCCCGCTCGCCCTGCGGACGCCGCCGCCGTCCTGTGGGCCGGGGAGGCCGCCCGGGTTTGAATTTACGTTTGGAGCGGTTCAGCCTGGTGAACTTTGTGTGTGTGTGTGTGAGTGTGTGCGTGTGCGCGTGTGTAACGGTTCTGTGAGGGCGGGGAGCCAGAAAGTACACTCACTCGTGCCAATTTTCATCAGCAGGGAGGAGCTGATGTTGACTTTATGTTTTCCTTTTTAACACATTCAGGGCAAGGGAGGGATTAGCACGGGGGCTGGCTCACTGGCTTTTCAGGTTCGCACAGACTGGGCACTTTTCTATTTTTCTGTTTCAGATTTGGGGTTCTGCAGGGTATTGTAACGTTCTGTAATGTGAGTGAAGCAGTCCCGTGGGAGGAGAGGAGGCTGTTTCCTGGACTCTGTGTGCTTAGCAGACACTATCCTGGCTGGTGGAAGGGCTTTGCTAGTGCCTCGGAGGCCCCTAAGGCCCGGCGAGCCCTGCGGCACCCAGCTGGGAACAGCATTTACCCTCACACTGGGGGACAGAGCGTGCAGTGTGGGCAGACTGCTTGAATGGATGGAGTCTCCACTGGAAAGTATTTGCCCAAGTTCTGTGATTTTGTCAGTGTTCAGATGGGGTTCCTCCCCACTTTGAGCCCCCCTCGGCCCTAGGCATGTTTGCAGCACCCCGTGTTCCTTATGGGACCCCGACATTCATGCTTTACCCCCAAACACTTTTGCTCTGTCTGCATTACACTGACATTTTGTGTCCATACCCCATCTGTATCACCAAAGCGGGAAACTGTCCGAACTCCACGGGACGCACCACCTCCCCCGGTCAGCCTGGACATCGGCTCGCATTTGCTCCTCGAGTCTGGGACGGTGCTGAGGACATGTGTCCCGGCCACGTGCTGCACTGGGAGTGGCGGCTGATGCACCAACCTGGGGCACGCTTCCCTGTTAGATGACACTCCCCTGTCACAAGCCATCGCTCTTGTTCCCGCTGACCGGAGGATGGCAGAAGCACTTTAGACCAGGGGACACTCAGTCTAATTCTCCCTGAACACCTGTCTGTACAGGTGCTCCAAAGGGCTTAATGAGCTTTCCACTGGGTGTCGGGGCAGAGAAAGGGGTATCTGTTTGCCCACGGGAAGTACGTTCTTGCTTTTCTTTCCACGTAAACCCTGTTAGATCGGCCTGGACACTGTCGGCTCCCCACCCCCACGCCGCCCCTGCTCATTAGCTGTGTCATCTTTGACTTGCTTTGTCCCTGCTGAGCCGGTGGAGTGTTCTTTGGAGTTTCAGGTTTTTCACATAGAGTAGTTGTTCCTGGCTTAAATGAGATGAATCAACTTGTTTTTCAGTATTGCTTCAGAGAAGCCAAAGATGGGAAGGATCAGAAATCTGTCTTTTTACATCATGGAACTTAAAAATCCCCCAGCACATCCACTAGCAAAGTGAAACGTTCAAACAACTCTTATCACGTTTAATTCTCAGTCATGATTCATGGGGAGAGAATTCTTTAAATTAGTCTTCATCGTTTTATTACAGTATCAGAAAATATTATGGGAACATGTGGAATTTCCAGTGCTTGGTTCCTACTGAAGAGGATGGGAAAACAGTTCTATTTGAGGCACATAAGATCGGTTGAAAAAACAGAGTAGACTGTTCCCTCCACGTTCCTGTATGTCCGGCCAGCCCCTGACGGTGTCGTGGTGTGGACTTCTCTACGCTGGTGCCGTTTGGGTTCGTACTGTCTGCTGGCTGTTGTTACGGGTACTAGTGTCCTGTTGTTGGGGGGTCACTGTGAAAGGGTTGCAGGGTGACTTCTTACGCTGCAGAACTCTGATTTTCACCTCCGTTCTGTTGGTTGCCTCCTTTTTCCTTTCCACGGCCTGTGACTACCCCGTGCCTCCCTCGCCGGGGAAGCCCTCGCCGTAGAACAGCGCCGTCAGCAGAGTCAGGCGCTGTCTGTGGGGAGGTGTGGCAGGCGCCCCTCCTCGGCCCCGTCGCCTCCAGTCCACACGTCCGGATGCGGCCGTTGGTGGGGGGCCAGGGCCGGTCCGCCTGCTCCCGTGCTGGGGCCTGGAGGGGAGAGGCGGATGCCAGTGGCTGGCCGGCTGCAGGGCGCCAGGTGGAGGGGCCGCGCCTCCTTTCCCCGAAATCATTTCTTCTGCCCTCCCCTTCCCGACATCTTGCCTTTTGGAATTGTGCATTTTCCTTTTTGGCTTTAAGAAGGCCCCCAAATAATTTCATTTTGGCTTAAGGAAAAACGTTAAATGGAAACACCAAGCGAAGTAGAGAAGAAACAGAAAACTTAAAAGAGACTCACGTCTTAAAAAGAATTCCGTTGCTGATAGAAATGTAGCAGTACATGTGTGTGTGTGTTGACTGACGGCTGTTTCGTGGGCTGTGCGGACACCGTGCTTGCTACAGGCGGGGGCCTTCTCCCATCCGGGACTGGCTGAGTTCTTACTCTGGTAGCGCTTAGGGAAACCACCTCATGATACCGCCTGTGCAAATTGCTTGGTGTTTGTAGAAGAGAAGTGTTTAAGACAGATTCCACCTTCCACATTTTGTGGTTGTTGTTACTACGTGGGCTCCCTTCCCAATTTTTGCTTAAGGGGGTTACTCAGTTCATGCTCTGTGCTTTGCTAATTAATATACTAACTTGCTTCACCTATTAGTTATGAGCTGGAGCAGCGTCTGGCCGGACGCTTTCTTACTGAGTAACTACCTAGGGAGGGAAGTGAAAGGTAATCTAATGTCGGTTCTTTGTGTTGGTCGAGGGGCCAGTGACTTTTTTTTTTTTCTTAAATAATTGCCGGCAAGCTGTTCACATGCACATTCCTGTCACCAAAGAATAAAATCTGAGATGGCCAGTTGGAATGTTGGCTTTCGGCGTGGTGTTTTCAGGGCTGTTGGGTACAAGATAACAGATGCACTTAGCTCTGAAACTCGAGTCCCACCCCGTGTTCTCGGGGGCCCCAGGCCGCGGACCTCAGGGCTCTGCCCAGGCGGACACCTTAGGGCCCCCTTCCGAGGCCGCAAGGCCCAGCCAGCTCTGATGCAGCCCGCACTTTGTGTACGTTACCCTCGTTGAAAGGATGGCGTTGACTCTGGAAAACAAGTGTGGGGAGAAAACTTTTCCTGCAGGCGCTCATGGGTCATTTGTTGTAACTGGAGAGGAGGAAGGGAAGGGGTCCCCAGATTCCGGGAAATGAGGGCTGTGAGACCACATGGACCCACTCCACCTGGAATCAGACCTCAGGTTTGGTAACAGAATTTGTTTACTTTGTTACATCTGCCTGGGAGTTGTCAGATAGCTGTAAGTACTGTGCTCGGCGTGATAAACCTACAGTATTGTTACCTGTATTAAAAAAATATTTACAAAATGGCAGCATTGGTATGTGTGGGATTTGAAATGTGTGGACTTGAATTATAAGAGTTCTTCAGAGTTAGGAAAATAGTTGAATTTGAATGTTCTTTTCTCGATGAATAAATATAGATGTCAAATTTAGCCAGGAAGCTAGGAGAGTAAACACGCACACATTAAAGGCACAGATCTATAAAATTGTTCTGAGTGCTCGTAAGATACTTGGAATGCTGTAGTTAACGCTTAGATCTGAGCTTTATGAGGTCAAAGTGGTAACAATGAGTCTGTCTTGTTTTATACTGGGCCCACTGGCTTTATACTCTGGTTTGGAGGCTACAAGCTGTTGGATGTTATGAGTCACTTTCTGCTTCCTCACCCCAGCCTTTTCCACATGGTTGTCTCTTTTTTTAGAGCTGGTGTTTTTTTTTTAAAGCAGTGATTTATGGGATGAGTTGTATTCTTCTGGATGGTAAAGAGAATGTGTTGGATAATCTTTGTTTTGATGTCCTGTATCTATAGGCTGACTCACCAGTTCAAATCCTTGTCATATCATTAAGCTCATTTCCAGTCCTTGTCATAACTGCTCGAGCACGCTGGATAAAAATCAAATTCTCGGCCGCAGGTACTTGCCTTAGTTTTGCGAATCGCTGTTGACCCTGGGGGTGGGGACGTTTGATCTGTTGTAACAGTGGCACCGTGGGCGCCGTGGTAGATTCTGGCCACTTTACGGGGTTGGCGCTCTCCTGACGCTCCACTTTCTCCTTCCCTAACTGCTGTGAAGGCCGCCAACTTTCCTTCTTTTTTTGTGATTTTTTTTTTTTTTTTTGGTGTGCCATTCAGAGATGACCTATTGTTACCAGTGCTCTGTTCTTTTCTGCGAAGAGG